CCAATCATAAGAATAGGGGTAGCTGGTTAAAATGCATTATCATTTCTGAAGTGATGGCAGGCAGATCTGATTTGTAGTGGCAGCTATTGACAGATTGTGAATAAATGTGTCTGTCTTGGTACTTTTCAAAACAGGGCTGTCATAGTTCAGGTTACCCTTATGTGACCAATTTGCATATTTTCTGAGAGAACCATGTGTGATGACCCCATTATATATAAATATAGAAGCTTTAACAGGGAAATCTGTCAAATCTAGTAGAAATAATGACATTTCCAGGCTTTTTTCAGCTGACTTACCTAATTTCTCATTGTACTAACACTGTCATATTTGTATTTTCTCTCAAACTCCACACACCATGTTTGATTGTACACAAGTATAATGACAATGAAGTTGAAATAAATTAACTCAATTTGAAATTAATTACAGTAACTTGGAGCCAGTGTTGTTGGCTGGGAGTTAATTTATCTTCATAAGCTTGTGCAACCTCAAAACCGCGAACCAGAATCAAATGCGACTATACAAGGATAACAATATTGACTATTGACAATAAGCTGTCAGTAGTATTGGTCTTTTTGTCTTTGCTCATCCGTCTCTCCTTTATTTTGATAGGGCTCCAGGTTTTGGGGTATGGGTGTTGCTCGTGCCTCAAAACGCCGCTCTGCAAAACGTCTCAGCCTGGCAAGATCCTTGGATGACCTTGAGGTATTAAATTCTTTTACTTACTGTTGGTTTTCCTAGCATATGAGTTTGTGTTTGAATCAGAACATTCATATTTTTTATGTTTCTAATTTCATTGATTGTGCCATTGTTCTTCTTTCACTAAGGTTGTTTGAAAATGATGAGCAATGGCAGAGTTTTATGTGAAGTGCACCACTTTTTCCATTTGGAAAATCCTCTTGTTTTTTTTTTTGTTTTTTTTTTTTTGTTTTTCTTTCAAGTTAATGGTCTGACAGTCTTCTTTAATTTCCATTCTGTTGGGCTTGTATTTTCAGAAAAGTTGGCTTCACTAATGTGGACATTAAGGTGAACTATCCCCCTTTCTCATTCTGCTCCACTTTGAGCTCTTTTTTAACCTTTCATTTCCGTTGCCTTGAACTCTGCATTTGCTGCTAAACTTGTGGAAGGGGTGGCGCACAAAGTGGTCTTTGTGCACGGCCAGAGGCATGGTCCTGTTTGTTTGGCCTCGCTAATGAGCACTGCTGCACGACTGAATATCGTGCCCACATTCTCTCATATTAATGTTGCTGAGAGACTGTCTTCCTCCAGTGGCCTCTGCATGCATGCATTACTCATGCACACTGATTCACATTCATAAAAACACACGCATACTGTTCCTTCATCTCATCATTGCTCTGAATGCACATGAACAGACACAAAAACAAACCAAAAAATGGCATACTGTATATCCACGCATTAGTCACACACAGACACACCCGCTGACCACACATTGTAATCAAAGAGGCATGCCACCAATCCTCCTCAGGATTGTCCCAACACATACTAAACAATGCCGGTGTTAAAAACCTCCAGGATCTGAGCAGGTTGGCCCCAGATATACAGTCACAGGATTAAAGATGGCTATAAAAGGTTACAACAGCTGCAGAGTTTCTGCCTGTATAGCACAACTTCTATACTGTCATTCATTGTTGATTTACTGTTATCACTAGACCACAGTATGTTCAGGTTCTCATACAAAAATATTACAAATTCTAAAGGTTCTTCCCCTTCAAACTTTCTGAATGTTCAAATTGTGAGGAGCTCATTTGCAATTCTGGGCAGTGTGACTTATGAAGTTACAAACTTTAAAACAAGAAGTAAAATAATGCATTTTTCTTTTGCCTCTGAGCTCCAAGTCGGCTGATATGTGGAGATCCCTTACTGCGTGTTTCTGTTGGCTTGGTGATGTGTTTCAATATATTTAGTTGCTATGGCTGTGGCTTCGTAGCAGTTGCTAATTATGATGAATCTGTCAAGAGTAAAATTAATTCTTAGTTTACCATCATCCCTAACAACTGATGTAGCTGTTTTCTAAGGATTGTTATCAGACATGTACTCCTGCTCTTTGTTAAGTTTGAAATGTAGAGAACTGGGGAGCTTCAGGCTGCTGTAATCAGATTTCTATTTTACATTTCTTAGGTAGAACTATTTTCCATGGAACAAAATCACATTTGCAGGATAGAGAGCTGGATACTTTCACACTTGTAGTATTGTGTTGAGTTTACTTTGTTACGCAATGTTTTGTCAATTGTAATACCTGGCTCTCACCTCTCTGTCAGGAGCTGCCATGGCACTAAGAGGGAGAGACAGGCTCAGACTGGTCTATCTGGGAAGTATCAGTAGTGTCAAAAAACACTTGCCTTTCACATGGTGGCATCATGGGTAATATGATTTCAGTACATAATCCAGTTCTGACATGTCAGTGGTAGAATAAATGGCTAAAAGGCTGACTTGAAACAGCTGTGGTACGCTGAGTTTGGTTTATGTAAAATAGAATGTGGGCGTCCATATAATAACAGCTTTTGTTCGATTAAACAAGACTTGGATTAGGATGCTGGAATTATTGAGTTATGAGTGTGAATTTTCATTGTCAGGCATACATTGTGCAGATTAAAATTGCATTTAGCTGCTTTCTCTCTTAAACCAACTGGTTTTGAAAATCTGCATTCAGCAAGCTGGATTAATGCTTCCTGCTAAAGGTAAATCACTGTGCTCCTTTGGTTACATAAGATACTTTTTGATGCCAAAGAGAAGAATATTTAATTGTCTCTTGCAAGGGAAAGACGAGTTTTGTCAAAACACTAGTAGGAACACATTTGCATTTATATGGTTGAATATATTCACCGCTGTGCAAACAGAGGTGTCTGTTGTTTGTTTTGCACACAGCCATATCGACTGCTGTTGTTGAAGGAGTAAATTTCCCTGTCCGAAACTCTGCAAGTGGTCCAAGATTTTGTACCCTTGAATATCTGGTAGAAATTGCATGATTCTACTCCCCAAGGAGAGTTTTAGATGTTTCCAATTAGTGCCCCAAGTGGTACTGGATTTTTGAGGCTGATATTGAGATTTGAGAGTAAGAAAAAAGTTTAACATTTAACTGTAGAACAGTTAATAGCAACACATAACATAAAACAAACCTTTTATTTTTATATCCCTACAGTTTGGTTATTAAAAGATTATATTTTAGATATATCCTTACCAAACTATGTACTGCCAACACGTTTGTAAATCCCTACAGACATATCTTCAAAAGTTCCCTGCTGTAATTTCTTGTTAAATGGACAATTTATCAGTCAGGCTCTACTTCTTCAAGGATGGCATCCAACAAAAGTTTCTCAGGATGCATCCAACACATAGCTATTCAGACTGTATCTGATTGAGAACAATTTTTAACCTGTGCAGTTTTAAGTCATGGTAGGCCTATATGTTCCAAGACATAACACTATAGGGAATGTTTTATGGTTGTCAAAGGCAATTAGATCCTCACCTCACACTTGCCCCGGGGCTCTCATTTCAAGGGCTTCACCCTGAGTTCATGGTCAGATATCAGATGGTGCACTTCTTAAAACTCCTGCCACAGCAAACCAAAGCCCATCCAATGGCGTTACCAATTATGTCCTTATGAAGCCTTACATATATGCAAGGTTTGGTGGTTTTACTTAAGCAAAAAGAACCACTTGTGTTTTTTGTGAGAAGCAACCTCAACACAAGCTTTAATACTGGAATCTATGAAATCCTCGGTAGAGACAAGCTAGAAACTAGAGCACGAGAGCCTTTTCTCTTTTGAAGGCTGTTGAAGTTTGAATGATCAACCTATCAAACTAAATTGTTGACCTTTAATGACTGCTTGTAGTGCAGGTACAAACCTGAAAGGTTTTGAAGTGCTTGATTTCTGCATCACTTTGTAACTTGTGTATGTTACGAAGGATGTTGTGAAGGACTCTTCTCAGGGCAAGTTTAGCAAAAAAAAAAAAAAACGTGATAAACTCTCAGTCAGTGCATCTGGACTCACAAGGACACCGTGAGACTATTTTGGAGTTCACCATCAGTGCTCAGGGCAGACCCTTGTGGATAACCCCTGTATGTGGCCTCGCTGCATGTTGTGGACAAGCCCAGAACAATTTGGACGCGTGAGGCCGTGTTGCTTTTTCCATGGTCGGTGGTGTGCGTCACAGTGGCTTGCGCAGGAATGAGCAAATGCTTGTTATTTTTCTTCACATTACAAAGGCTCTGACACGTAGCTTTTTTAACCCACGCACCAAGTCAGAATAGCATACATATAATCTTGTGCTTTTGGACATGCTTCGATGTGTGTCTTTCTGGTTCAGTAGTGGGAGAAACTCCTTTATAATTCTTGTGTTTGTGCTGATTCGTTTTCCCTACGTCTTATGATGAGTGTTTTGATGTATGCTGAGCTTTTGTTGTCAGATCCTCTTAGGTTTGGGCATGTTGAAGAATGTGCAGCTTTGTACCTTTGTACCCCTGCCCCCACATCCCACCACACAGCTCCACCACTATGAGTCGATTTCTTCTTCATCACAGGCTCCTTGTTTTTAGCTCCAAACAGATGCCTTGCGCCCGTGATGCTCTGCCGATGACAGCGTGTTCAACTTTACAGAGAAGACACCATTTGCAGGCTGCTGTGTCTGTGTTCACAGACTCTGTCATCTGATGTGCTGCTGCATGTGAAAACATCTGTTATTGCGAGCCGTGAGTTAATGCTCACTGTTTTATTCAGGCATACTCTAGGTGCCTGCTGGGAGATTTGGGGCACCTTTTTTGCTCCATGAGTGTGAAGTTTCTCCTTTGAGGTGTGGAGACATTAGCTGCTCTTGTTTGCACGCCTGCGGGTAATAGATCTATCCTGTGGGCGTAGCAAAAACCAAGAGAAGGCATGAAGACACAGAGACGGGGAGGGAGGTAAACAGAGAGGGAAAGAGGAGGAATTTACAGCAAAGAGAAAGAGGAGGGAGGGAGAGTGAGAGGGAGAGAGAGAGGAACCGGCAGCAAAGGAAGAGAGAGGGAGCTTTTGAACTCCCAGTAGCTGTCAGGATTTTCGGCTCTCCTCCACGCTCTCTCCTCCCCCGTTGAGCTCTGTCTCTCTGCACTGCAAACATTGACTCGCACACGCACCGCGGAGCTCCAGCGGATGGACTCGTTTACACACACCAGGTGTGTGGAGCAGCGCTGAAGACGAGCCAAACACACGCACACAGCGCCATACATGGAGCAAACTTTAACTCTCAACTCTGTAAGTCTTGAGGTCTTCGTTATTTTGTCTGTCTTCACTTCTCCTCTATTTGATGATGCCATCTTCATCTTTCACACTAGTGGTATCCTCCCTGCCACCGTTACTTTTCCTTCTTTGGGCTCTTTGTAGCTCCTGTTGTAGCCTTTGAGCGGCATACAGTGGTTAGCTTGTGTGGTCTGTCAGAGGAATGTTTTGAGCAGTGCCAGCCGAATTCTCATGTGCTCTATGGTACACACAGCGCTGCTGTATACAGCAAAATGTGGTCTCACATCCATATCAGGATGCATGCTGACTTTAAATTAGACATTATGTTAAAAGGGTTTTATGAAGTGACCGTGGATTATTCTTGTAAACTGCATGGGCCTTTGAATGAAGTGCGCTCTGTTGCACTCGCCCTGAGACGTGACCTTTTTCGCAGTCAATTGGTGGCATTGGAAGAAGTGAGATTCAGTGTGAGAGAAACGGATCAGAGTTTGTCGTTGTCAGATAGAATAAAATCTTCAGTGAATGTACACTAGCACTGTGTTTGAGGTCGTCATGTTACAGCAACGGTTTAGTCTGAACTTGAAATGGTTGCCTGTGGGTTTACCTTGCCCCTACTGGCTTTGTGCAGGCATGTCCCCGCTCTGATTCACCAGCCTTCTTATTCACTTATCTAAAAGCAAGCTTTGCGAAAATATGTCCCTTTTTTGGTGGTGTATGACTACTGCACGATCTTTATCACACAATATGTCAGAAAGGAACTAATAAATTAAATATAAGCAACAATCAAGTTGAGTTATGATTATTAATATTGTATTTTACTGTAATTTGCTAAAAAGCCATACTTCATTATATAAATTTCTCTCACTGTTTTTGATGTGGGTGCTATGACTTGAGAAAATGAGCAGGAATAGTGTGTTCCTGCGGCTCAGCAGTAGAGGCAGGAGAACACGACGCACTTTTATCTCACTGACATCACATGGCCAGTTCTGGAGTGTGGGTGGACAGTTGCGCTCACGAATGTGTCCTAAGGCTAACATTATAGGATGCAAAGACTAAGCAGGCTGACATTTTCTAAATGTCTCCACTATGATTCCTTTTCTTCTTTCCTCCTCCTGCAAGAGGTTTTATTGCAATTACATAGACTGCTCTCTCCAAACCCACTAACTGGAAAAACAGTACATTAACACAACAAAACTTGAGTAGAAGTTACTTAGCTGTCCAGCTGCTGCTCGCTGTATGAATATGCAACAGCCAATAACCAGATGACCAGATGTGGCTGTGGTTGCTGAGTTTGCTATTTGACCAAGCTGTAACCACGGAAAATACCCGCTGCCTCTCCATCTCTGGACGGAGGCGCACTGCAGCTCCACTCTCACACCAACGCTATGACATCATCTATCGACATTCACAATTATGATATATCTTTTTTAGTTAACCACACAGCTCTTCATCATTCACTGTTGATTGACTATAGGAAAAGCTATCTGAACCAGGATGTCTATGGATGTGATACACAACTTCTGGAAATGATTCATTCTACACTCACTGTTTACCTTCCTCAATTGTACTATTATTACATTTCTCTGCTTCACTGAAAGGGAATTTACTGCCAAGGGTGTGGAGGTTACTCAACAAGGAATGTCTTCAGAACTGCCAAAGTCTTTTATCATCTCACGCTGGTAACAGTTCAGACATGTCTGGGATACAGTGGGCTGCTCGTCTTTCCTTACTGTTTACCTCACACCTGTAGCTCAGACAACGCCGGGGTGCGTTTGCTTCATGGCTGAGACACAGAAATACAGCCTGTCCTGTTTGAACTGGAGGGGATTGCAGGAAGGCTCAGGAACTGAATGTAGTTGGTATCGTTTTGGCCTTGTGTTGGTGCAAGATGCTGCAGAATCAGGCCAAGGTCTTGTCTACTTCGCACTGTGGAAGTCATAAACATTGATTGTTGGGGCAGCCAAGTTACACTCCCTATGATGTTGTGGGGGATTGGCTTGGCGCTCTACTTTGACAGTGTAAACACTAACTTTTCCTAACAAGGTATTTTTATAAACATCTTCATCCTGTGGTCAACATAAATAAATATGATATTTATGGTTATATAGCTTGGTTATTGCATGACCTCCTTGTTTACAGTTGAGTAAAAGACCATGTATTGTTCACGTTGTGTCCTGCGCCATGTGTCATGATGTTTCCAAAGGCAGTAAATTAAAATGTTGCCCTGAAATGCAAATTATGTGGTGCAAATGAATGGCATAATATGAAATATACTGAATGGTTAAGCAAAGGGGAACCAGTACAGTTAGTTTCCATATGACACAAAAAAATAAATCAAGTGTCATTTAGGAAGGATGTGTAGAAGTGTGTGTGTAGACAAGGCCTCACACTCTATAAAAGTCTCAAACTGCATTTTTTTTTACCACTGTGAGCATTGCCATGGACTTGTTACCATACCAAATACCAATAGAGACTCAGTGCCATCCTAAAGTTAAGCCTAGCTTGCCTTCACCTCTTTCCCAGTCTCACTCAAACACTTTAGGTTCCCTGCATGACCAAAATGATTACAGATCTTACACCACATACGGTCAGTAGTACTTGCACAGGAAGTAAAGGATTGTGGCAGGTTCTCGTCACTGGCAGCATATAGCCTTGTACACTCCCGTGAGGCAGATATTCATTCATATCTTGACCTTATCATCACACAACTAATGTACCCAAGAACTCAGACTTTTGAAAACTGTGTACACTAAGCTTTCATTTAAGTTTGCTTGGTGGAAAACCAGGGGGACTCACAGGGCTAATTATAAGTGTCAGGTTTCAGGTTGGAAAGTCCATTTCTGGTGTTTTTTATGGAAGAGAATGAGAGCAGTCGGAGGGTGTGGTGGCATCTTATGTGGTTTATCCACCTAAAGCCCTCCAGGCTCATGTGAGTGCAGCCCTTTCTCTATGATAATAAATTGGGAGGTGGGAGGGGTCCTTTCTCTCTCTTAAGTTATTCTATTTTGTGGGATTCAGCTGTGCCTTGTAAATCAAATGTATTTTATTTGTTACTTATTTTGTATGTAGCATTTTCCCAGTGACATGCCAATATTGCTGTTTGTTACGACAACACAACACAACACAACACAGAGAGTTAATGTCATGTTTCTATGTGTGCTTTAGGCTTCACAGTTGCAGTGAGTGAGTATTAGTGAGTAGTAAGGCCAATGCCATGAGCTGACAGGTCCAGGCAGAGTTAACATCGGTTAAGATCAGAATTGACATTGTTAGAAGTTGGGAAAGACAAATTCTGATATTGGTTAAAGCGGCACATTCCTGACCCTGGGAGAAGTAGGGCAGCAAAGGGAAACGCGTAAACATATCCATTCAGATGAATGCTAGCACACCCTGCCAGCTTTTTTATCAGCAACAAGTGGCTAACACACACGCACATATCGGCAGCACTGCACAAATCATAGTAATGCCACTTTAATCCAGATAGGAGCAGAGCTGTACCCATCTGCTGTGGCTAACCGGTTGGAGTTGGGGAACAGGCAGTAGATTACTGCCGATCAGGGGGATTAAGAGATGAAACGCACTGCGACAATGACGATGGCCTCTGTTTGCATGCAAATCACTCGTGTCTTTAAAGACATTGCGAGCAACTCATTTGTTTACTGAGCGGATTACATTTCAAAGCCGCCTCGACACAAGTCTAGTCTCTTTACATGGCTCATGATCTGGGGCCAGACGTGCATCCACCCAGCATCATTTAATGTCTGAGGTGGGATCCTTGTTTAACATAAAAGCCCTTTTATTAGATTTGTTTTTTAATTAAACTCTTCAGAGATCAAGATGATTAAATCTAAACTAAAACTAAAATGTTGGCTTCCTACTCAAGTGCTAGAGTGTAGTCTCATATCTACACACACAACATGATAAGTTTCACATTTGAAATTGTTACCTGCTGAAGCTGTCTAAATTTATTTAAAATACATTTTCTCATTTTCTTTTTCTTAAAACAAGTGAATAGACTTGCCAGTCAGGTGAGATAATAACTGTGACAAAGCTATGCAAAGGATGCTTTTTCACCCCTGTATCTTCTAGTCTGCTTGTTGGTAAAATTAAAAAGTTATATACATGTATGGCTGAAATTTGAAATTTGTAGGAAACAAAGTATTTTTTTGCTGTAACTATTGTGCTACATTCATGTCTGAAAAGCCAAACATAGAGTTAGTTGCAAAACACCATTGTATTTAGTCTGTTATTCAAATCCATGGTAAGCATTGTTTGGTTTTCACCAAAATCATATGGCCCTTAAAGTAAAAACAAAAATCAAATGATTTCAAGATTTAAATTGACTTATGTATTAGTGTCATTATGAACAACACTGGCACAATTCCTGACGTTCTTGTGACAAACATCAGATTTATCACTGGAATTCAACAATAAGTTACATATTAGGATGTTCTATATTTACTAAGTGCAAATCATGAAAATATATTGTGTCTGTTTCACAGCCTGAGATCTATGGACATAATACAGATACCAAACCTAAGGGGATGCTAATTGTGTTCATGTTGTTTACCATTCCTGATCTGTTAGCATCACATAGGCATGCTGACCTCATCAGATCTTTGCTAATGTGATAGAGTGTCTGGCAGATTTGTAGTGACAAACAAGATTTCCCATAGTTAAAACACTAGATTCCACTTCTTAACCTCCAAAAATCAAACACAAGGTTGTCTGTTGTCTGTCTACACTATCTTCTCTTAGATATTGTCAGAGGAGTTTCATAATTCGCTAAATCAGTCCGACTCCCTCTCTCCCCCACACTCTTTGCTTGGTTGGGAAATAAATGTCTCTTCCATCTTATCAGACACCGCACCCTCTCCCTCCCTCCCTCAAAAGGAAGTTGCCTCCATGCAAGGCTCTTTCTTGATGTTATTTTCAGGGAATAGTTTGTCGTCTGCAGCAGATAGCAGGTCTAGATTATTTTCCGTCTTCGGTCAAGATTGCCTGGTGGAGAACTT